GTACTACCAGTAGTATCCGGGGTCTGGTCCCACATGTATAAATACCAGAGTAATACAGCATAGTATGGCAGTCTGATCTATCGAGATCACACACTGTCTACTTCACTCTACTCTCTCTCTGAGTTAACCACTCCCAAGACAAGCACTAGTCGCTTACCTCTTGCAACTACCAGAACTACACAAGTGAGTGCTGGGGTTAGAGTTAGGGTTAGGGTCAAGGGCAATACCTTGACATTTAGATCAGACTATCCTATTCATCGATTGTCATTATCAACAACCTTTCCTTCTTGGTCGTCTCATTTGTTTTAACAGATAAACTCACTCCTTCAGGAAGCATCGTCGCACACTTCCCAGTTTGCCCAGGACCTTCAAGAAGCTCGTACCTATTCCTCCCTTACCCACTTCCCATTCTTTGGGACCCCTACCGAACAACTACAATTCGTCGAAGGACAACTTGCTAGTCTTGCCACTGGAGGACTAAACACCCCCACGGAAGAAGAACTCTTTCGGGAGTACATTGGATTAGCAGAGACTCTCAGAGAGTCTATTAGGTTAGGAGAACAAGATACAAGCATTCAAGAAGAAGTAGAGGCAAGCAGTTTGCCTACACCATCATCACCTCGACAACCAATCCCTACACAGTGGTTCTTATGACGAGTTGCCGATTCACTGGAACTAGTCGAGATTGCTAGAAGCCGATCCAAAGAAGAACTCTGGCAGAGAGTTGGAGGACCTGAAGCTGAGCTAATTTTAGCTGCAGTTCAGAACGATCTGATAACAGGAGTAGTTGAAAGGGCTCATACAGAAGAATCGGGCGGCAACCCAAACAACTTTGACTTGAGCCAGGCGCCATATCACCACCCACTCGACGACGAGTTCAGGAGGGAAGCAGCTCCCTCTTACTTGCCGCCACCACCTAACTATTTGCCATGACCCCCCACCTACGAAGACAATCATCTTTGCCCCGATTTCTTGGGCCTTGCCAAAGGCATCGAAGAACCTAGGGAGCAAGAAGAAGATTCTCTTGAGTACGTGGAAGGTACAGGAGAAATAGAGGAGGACCCAATAGCCTCCCCTACAGTAGTCAGCACCGAGTCAAGTGTAAGCTCCTCTTCAATCTCGGAAGGAGATCGACGAGAGCGCGCAGCTCCCTCAAGGCCGTTCCCTCCTTGGCTGCAAAGCAGGAGGACCACCCTTAGGGACACGCCCGGCAAGTAGCAGCGGTATTTCCACCCCTACTCTTGCATATGCACCCCCACCCCCATCGCAGACAACGTCCAAGAGGACATCGACAGGTTCCAAGCGGGACCAGAACAAACAATTGAGTACGTACCACAGCCCTACGCTAGAGCTGAAGGGGTATGACAGACTCACCAACAAAGGAGAAGAAGAGAAGATTCTTCTGCCTTTGTCAACAAGCAACATCTTAATCACATCTACTGCGATCTGCAAGGGCTCCAGCATAAGCCGGGCTATTCACTTCTGAATATGACGCAGCAAGAGCAGATATGTTTTTTGATTCAAAGAATAGCTGGTATTCTGTCGAACATAAACTATTGAGGCGCAGACGTATACGGACCGATTACAAGAAGGTTACTTGTACAGGTTATTAACCAAGTCAAGGACAAGTTTGGTGACATGAGGTATAGGAACCTCAGAAGACTAGTAAAGGAGATATTGCGGGAAAGTGATCACGTGGAGTTGGGCAGAGACAGTGTTATTTGGAATAACACGCTCTGAAGTTTTTATCTATAATCAATCGGACGTCAGTAGTAAACCAAGGACGCTTACTACGAAGTTGTACTATCCAATCACAATTATAACATGTTGTCGTCTACTTCAATACCAATGGCTGGTATTGAACCAGATCCTTCGCTGTATCTATTAAACCCTTGAATCGACGAGCAAATAATAGCCAGATACTATCCTGGAGAAAACCATGAGAACACTAGAATAGCATGGAAGGAGATACTTGAATCTACCACCAGTTCGCTACAACTAGAAGTTCAAAGAGTTTTTAGGAGCGTATTTATGCAAATGGGACAATTGGACCGAATGATTTCAGACCAACAGGCTGAAATAACGGCCGCCGATGGTCGCCTAGCAGCAGTAGAAGCAGTGAATGTACAATTGCGGAATGACTTGAATTTGCTCGTAGAGCAATTAAATTGTCATGTAGCACATGTGGCACAACAACCCGCGACACAGATGTCGCAAGAACAAGAAGAAAGGAGGTTCAGGATTGCGCAACCAGGAAGGTTTGCGAACAACTCAAAGGAACAAATGTTCGAGCAGTTCATGGAAAAACTGGCTGTATGGTACGCACACCAAAGAGTGACTTCGGATAGAGACTGAATCACTGGTGTCTTGCTTTGTTGGAAGGCCGTGCACACGTAGTGGCAGGCAATTATTATCGCATGGTTAAAGACTCCAAAGATTTGGGGAAATATGAAGATTTCCTACACCAAATGAGGAGAGCCTTTACCACGATGGATCAAGAAGAAGATGCACGTCAAGAATTCTTGAGAATGCTCAAGAAATACGACAGGGTGGCGGTAGCAGACACTGCCAAGTTCATTGGAGAATTCAGAGGTCTGGCAGACCTCATGAAGTCAACGGATAGTGAATTAATTGCCGCAATCAGAGATAGATTGCATAGGGAGATTAAAAATGTCCTTGTGGCAAGGGGAAGTTCCCAGTGGCCCAAGAAATGGTCGGAGTACTGTGATTATGTACTCAACATTTGCAAAGATATGAACATTCATCTTGAATTGTGTATATTTAATTCGTCCAAGACAAAAAACAAATTTACTGTGCCTGTGATCATAACTGCGAAGGGAAAGAATGAGGTAGTAACGAATGCACTAGTTGATAGTGGTGCATTTTCAACATTTTATCAATCGCTGGTTTGTCGAGGACAATAACTTGTTTGAAGAGGATTTGCCACATCCTTTCACCGTTATAAATGCTGATGGATCTGTAAACTGTGGAGGTCAAATTAAGACAATGGTCATGGCTTTTCTCAAGATAGGAGATCATGAGAGCAAGCATGCATGTCTAGTAACAGACCTCGGATCTAAAGATACAATTATCGGGATGAACTATCTCCAAAAACATAACCCTGAGATCAACTGGGCAGAAGGAACTTGGAA